CAACCTCCTTACTTGTTGCTTCAGTTCTTCATATTCTTCTTGTGTTCTAGGTTCAATTTTCTGCAAAATCAGTCCAAAATAGAACATTAAATATGTGGTGATACAACCATGAAGAAAACACTCAACTTTTGAGATATTAAAAAACTAAAAAACTTATAGATGCAATTACAGTGAAGTATTCTCAAATCAAGCTTAAAGTAGGCAGGGTATAAAGAAAACTCAGCATGCAAAACTTAATTAACTGGAGGAGTATGAAATACCTTGTAATTGGAAGAATGATGGAGGAAATAATCCTTCCAAAGGCTAGGGTGAGTACTAGATGTCGGTCGACGGATATTTTTGCAAGTTGCATTTTGAGGTGAGGAGGGAAGGGCCAAAGGTGGAGTTGACATTGTGCTACTATTTATGAGAGGGGGGATAGCTACTTTAAGGCTTTGGTGCTGCAGAGAGCTTGAGGGCTCTGGTATTTGTAGGGATTTAGTATTGTTGTACGCATATTGGGTTTCTATTCTTTTTTTCCTTTTTCTTTTTCTTTTTTATTTTTATTAAGAATTTAATTAACAATCCAACGCATATAAGGTTTAAATCGAACCACAAATCGCCTTAATAGTGTTGGGTGTTGTAATAACATAATCACACCCAAATTAAGCCAACCTGTCTGCCAAGTCAACTGACAAATCACCTACACCGCGTGCAGCGCTCATCACGCTGCCAAGCCCCTTCCAAGGTCCGCTGAGGCACCGCCACATTGAACCCGTTCAGCCACCGCAGCATCTCCATGCGCTCTTTCCAAAAACAAGAGAAGACAATTGAGGAAAGAGTTTGCCCGTTTTACGGTTTAAATTATTTTAAATAATAAAATAAAAACTCTTATATAGAAAAGAATCTTTACTATTTAGCATTTTTTTATTTAAATATTAATATTTTATAATTTAAAATAATTTAAATTATTATTTTTATTTTGATTATACAATAAAAAGTAATTGTTTATATTTTTTATCCCACCTCATTTACATATCATGTAGTTCAAATTGAAAATCTCTTATTTTTAATAAAAAATTACTATTAAATTATTTAGATTGTTACCAATAATTCAAATCATTAAATATTTATTCATTGAGAGAAATTTAAAAAAATCAATCAATAATTCAATGGCAAAAAGAATATTTAACCCTTTTACTTTTTAAATATATTGAAATGACTCCTTTTACATTTTTTTTATATTTTATCAACCTACAAACTTTCATGCTAAATTAAATCACCCACTTACTATTTAATTAAAGAATGGTGTTATAGAGATAATTTTTTTATATCATCTTTTTATACAATTTGCGCATGTTATTGAATAAGTAAATGCATTCAATAATATAGGTCTCATATGAATTAAAAGAATCAATAACTTAAATGACACCTCAAATTACATAAAATAATAATATAAAAAAATTGTTCTAAAATCATTTCCCTTAATTAAATCACCTAAAATTTAACTTAACGGATGTATGAGCACATGTCAGCTTTCCATTTAACCTTGACGATTGACAATTATAAGCTCCATTTTTGTGACATGGCGCGGACATGGAAATTAAAGTGGCTAACCAATAAAATACTAATAAGGGAAATTATATAATTAAACAAATTTAATAATTTAAAATCAATTATATATTTGAATTTACACTTTTATCCTCACCTTCAACCTCATATCAGTTGTCTCACCTCTGTCATCCTCCCTTTCATTCCCATTTCTTCATCTCTTCGATCTCCAACCCTCCTTTGTGATTTACATTTTAATTATTATTTTTAAAATTAACGGTTTAAATTGAAAATTTTATTTATATAAGTTATGTATATTAATTTTTATATTAGTTTAATATCTATAACTCTTTAATTAAAAAATTTTATTTATTGATTTATATTTAATAATATTTAATTTTTAATAATCAATAAAATAATTAAATTTATTAAAATAATTTAAAAATTAACATCAGACTCCATATAAATAAAAATTTTAATTTAACAATTAATTTTTAAAATATTAATTAAAAAATAAATTTTTAGACAAATTTTTTAAAAAATGAAAAAAAAATATATAAAGCACTTTTCCTTAATTTAGAAACCATCTGGATTCTTTATTTTTTTCTGTCTGAAACAAGACTTGTTGTCAAGCCACCATAAATTGTCTAGCTTTGATTTTTTCTTTTTTTTAACAGGTACAATTTTAAGAGAGAAAAATTTAAATCTAAACTTTAAAGTTAACGGTGTTCTTTTTATAAAAATTTAATTATAAACTTTTTAAGACAGGCACTAAATCATCAAGCACTTAACATGTGAATAATGAATTTTACTTAAAAGTGATGTAGCATAACCATATTTTTTAGATTTATATTAATTTAAAAATATATAAATTAAAAAATTACAAGAAAACAACATATGAACGAATTCCGATAGATTCAATAACCGTATTTTGCTATTCAATATATTATTTCATGAAATTCACGTGAATGACCTGCGTTTTTCTCAACAGCATCTAACCATCTACTTTCCAATTGGTTCCTTAACTAAATTTCTAAACTGGAAGTTTAGATAATGTATCAAATAAACATCATGATCAAGTTTTTTTTTGGAAATTTCCAAACATTTAACAGCTTTTATAGTTTTTTTTTTTTTTTAATCTACCATGATGGTGTTTCTAATCTATTTTTACACATCTTAAGAATAAATTTTTTAAAAATAATTTTAAAGATGTATTCTTACATTAATTTGTTATATTAAAAAAATTACTTTATTTAAATGTTATTTTCAAAACTTAAATATAGACTGTCATATTAGACGACATTTGTTTACTTATATAAATACAATCCTTGAGATTACAACTTTTAAAACCTTTAATACATGATGATTATTCTTTTCTATAACCATGAGAAACAGTTTTTAATTTTTATTTTAATTTTTATTTTCAGAGAAATGGAATATTTTACAAATACTGGTTATGAGTTATATTAACTTCAAGTGTTATGTGTATTGAAAAATAAGTATTGCTTTTTAAATTTAGATTTAAAGTTAAAGTTTTGGAACTAGCATCTTAAGATATTAATATTTTTGAATGCAACAAGATTATATTAGAGGTGTGTTTTTAAAATCATTAAGGAATTAATTAATCTTGAGATACATAAAAACTAAATCAAAGATACACTCTAATTATAAATAAATTAAAAAAAGAAAAAAAAATAAAGAGAAAAAGCTACGAGTCAAACTCAGTCTAGTAGCCCCAAAGTTTTAGAGCACGGGGTTAGCCACCTAGCCTTAATGTGCTGGTTCTGTGACCATTAATTTTGTTTTGTATGCGAAGAACATAGGCAATCAATCACAGTGTGTAGTGTGAATGAATGTTTCTTTCTTTTATTATTATTATTATTATTATTATTATTATTATTATTATTATTATTATTATTATTATTATTTTCTATTCTATGGCAATGTAAAACAATTATTTTTTATCTTTTAACTCGTTTTATTTACATATTATATGACTTAAATGCATGACATCTTACTTTCACTGAAAAATATTATCATTTGGTTATTTAGCTCATTAACTATTTCTTGAATCTTCACAACATTGTGATATATTTTGATTTTAAATATTAATTTATTATAATTTATTTTTAAAAAATCTTAATTAATGCTATTATAAATATTTAGTAAAATTTAAATAAATGCTCTTTTAATTAAGTTCTACATAGACACCTGTAAGGGTAGGTTCGAGGTGCTCAACCTCGGATATACGACAGTAATTACTTTATAACCGAAGTAAGGGACAAATCCAAAACTTCTTGCTCAAATAACTGCACGACAGCGACAGTAAGCATGCCCGCACCTGATTCCTTATGATAAGCTGCACAGCAGTTACGATGGATATCCTTGCAATTGAATATCTCTCAATTTCCCGGTCCCAAAATAACCGTCTGGAGATATACGTCAGACTCCGATTATCTTGCTTGGTATGCCATGTGGGTTCCTCACTGAAGCCTATAAATACCCCCCAAGGGCCCTGTTAAAAAGGTAATTGAAACCAACCCTAAGCTCCTTTTATTTTTGCTCTAAAGGTAACCTCGATTATTGCTGACTTAAGCATCGGAGTGTCTACCTCAATGACCCACCTCGGGGCTTTGCAGGTCAATCCGGAGTGCAGACGCGGACTGAAGAAGGACTTCTGGTTTGGTGCAATTACAACACCTTAGATATATAGAAATGAGTTAAGAGTGGGTGGTGTTATTGTCACATTTTAAATGACAAATATCACACATTTGTATTTTAATTGATCATTATATCTTTTAATTCATTTAAAAAAATGAAAAAATATAAAATTTTGAGAAAAATATAGTGTAAGAGTATAATAGTTTGTTAAGCTAAAAGGATGTGACAATAGCCTCACCCTCTAATGTTTTGCAACTTAAATTGTTTTAAATTGTAAAATATGAATTATTTAATAGAGCAATCCTCTCGCTTCTAATACAATTGTTAATATTTTACAATTTAGAATGCAAAATACTTTTTTACACAAAAATAATTATCTTTTTTTTTTTGGGGTAAAATATACTCCCTTAGTCATAGAATATAAATGTGGTTTTTGACTTCCCCAAATTAGAATTTGAGAACAAACTATATTTACCTATATTATTTTTTTTTTAAAAAGAGATTTTTGTCATTGATAAATAATTAAAATTAATAATGCCGTAGAATTTTATTTCTTATCTCACTCCACTCATATATTGTGAGACTTGAATTCAGAACTTCTTACTTCTAACAGAAGAAAATTACAACTAAATTAGTTAGGTCGTTGGCATATTTGTCTTCTTTAAAACATAAAAAATGATAACTAATCTCAAACAAAGTCTAATGAAAAATCAACAACTTGTTAGTTTGAATGAAAGGAGCTTGGCCATCCCTAAAACGAGGTCATAAGTTTAAATCTTGTGAATGGAAAAACAAGCATTGAGAGGACTTTCTCCTTATAAGGTCTAATAAGACTTTATTTCAAATTAATTAAAGTTCAATATAGCTCTAGAATAGCAAGAGTTTAGTAAAAAAAAAAAAAGTTTTGATGAAAAGATAATTATTATGGGTAGAAATAATTGTGAATGTCTTAAATATATACTCCCCATATTCTAGATAATAGATAAAGTTTTTTTTTTTAACTCCATATTATGAATTTGAGAACAATATATAAAAAATAAAAATAAAGATTTTTTTATAATAAGATAAATAATTAAAATAAAGAGATAATAATAAAATTCAAAGCAAAAAAATACCTCTCTTTAAAAATATAAAAAAGACAATTATGTTTTTAATAGTAGTGAAATAATATAGAAATAGGATACACCATAACTCCAAAAAATTTAGAATTGCATGAAATCTCATATATATTATTTTACTCATACACATAAGGTTTGTTCCACGTTGTTCATATGTGTGTAAATTAAGTAATATATATAAGATTCCATAATGTGTCATGTATCTATACTATTTCACTGCTATTTAATAAAAAAAATAATTTTTTTTAATGTTTTATAATAATAATAATAATAAGTACTTATATGTTCAATTCCTAGTCTCTAGCATCCAAAAATAATTTTTTTTAATGTTTTTAAAGAAATAGATATTAAAAATTTTTTTGAGTAGGATCAAGCACCGCCAGCACTATCAGCGCGTATGTTATGGGGAAAAAAATCGTGCATCACAATCATCCCGATTCTTCGGAGTACTAGAAACTAACTTTAGAACCAACCTTAGTAGATGCCGCGATACGACTGCTCTAGCTTTAGTTTGCTACTTTTTGAATTTTTTTTCTTTAAAATGCTATTTTACAGTTGAAATAATTTTAAATTTAAAATAAAACGTTTTGAATATTTTTTGAAAAATGCTATTTTACGGTTCAAGTCAACTATAGTCCGTCGATTTTTTATTTTCATTCATTGTCCGTTCTAAACTTATAAAATTTCATTAATTGTCCTTCTTGTACTTACAAATCATTCAAAGTTTTTCCTCTACTTTTCCAAACCATATTACAGTCCTCCCTCTATTTTAACTTTTCATAACATTTAGGTTAAATCTTCAATTTGATCTTTAAATTATTATACAAACTTTTGATTTGATCCTTAAATTAAAATTTTTTTTTGATTTGGTTCCTAAACTATTGTACGAACTTCCGATTTAGTTCTTATTGTTTACCAATTTACCCCAAGTTGATTTTTCCGTACAAAAACCAATTGACGTGTTTTGTTATTAACATGACATATGATTGTTAAGTTATTGTTTTTTTATCATTAAGTTATTGTTTTTCACCGTTAAGTTACTGTTTTTTGTCGTTAAGTAATGGACACGTTAACTGTTTTTTGTCGTTAAGTAATGGACACGTTAATTGTTTTTTGTATGAAGAGACCAACTTGGGGCAAATTGGTAAATAGTAGAGACCAAATTGGGGGTCCGTACAATAGTACAGGGACCAAATCAGGGACCAAATCAGGAATTTTTTAGTTTAGAAACCAAATCAAAGGTTTATACAATAGTTCAGGGACCATATTGGGGTTTAACTTGACATTTACCTCCCCCTAACACCACACTAACACCGTTTCTAATTCTGTTTCTAACTCCCATCTCACATAAACATCTTCGATCGTTAAGTGTGATGGTTTCAATTTTTTTTTTTAAAATTGTGTTTGTGGGCACACAAAACAAGACAAAGGAGGGAAAAAAAACTCAAAATTTATTAATTTAACAAACATATACTAAATAGTAATTAATTTTAATATTTTTTAATTTTCAATACACAAATCATTTAAACAAAGCCTTAGTCTTTCTATTTTTATTTGTCTCTTCTCATGACAATTATTAGGGTGATTTTATTGTCACATCTTATTAATATTAATTCCATGTAAAATTATTATTTCTGACTTTTCTTCTATTTTGAGTTGTATAATAGAGTTAACTCTTTCTTATCCTTTAACCTACTTTTCTCACACATCATGAGACTCAAACTTATAATTTTTTTCTTTTGCTAAAAGGAAATCATTTTTGAACTATTTATATCGTTGCCTTTTTTTTTTACTTTTTAATCGATTAATATAATTGAAAGTTAGTATGAATGATGTTTTCAAAAATTTAGGCCATATTTGATTGGGTTATTAAGAAATATTTTTTTTTATGGATAGTTATTAAGAAATAGTTAATACTCACTTTCTTTAATCAGATGAATAAGGGCATTTAAATTGTAAATAATAATAATTGTTAATTATTATATATAGAATATCATTTATTAGTTATTATTAATAGTTAAATTAAGGCTTTATTTGGCCATGCTTCTTACATTTTTTCAATAATACTTTGTCTAAAATATAAATTATAAGTAATAATAATTGCTAATAACTATATATAGAATATCATTTATTAGTTATTATTAATGGCTAAATTAAGGTTTTATATGACCATTA